TCTAATGGTGTTTATATTTAACTTTAACCAATCCACGATATTGCGCCACTGTTGTCTTCATTGTGTAACTGCCTCTAGAACAGACCTGGTTTAATTCTATTTGTCACGGTTTCTCATTAGAACTCCAGGAATTACCTCATGAAGCTAGTCGCTAGTGAGCACATGATGATTATCATCAGAAAGGGGTTTTGAACCTGGGTTTGAGTGCCAATAACGATATTGCGAATCCGCACTGTCGAGGACTCCTATACTGCTATGAAAAAGCCGTCCAGTGCTTCCAGGTTTTCCATGATGGTATAGCTTTAATCGACACGTGAATTCAACTATTAACTTATTTATTTATTGAAACATTATTGATTACAAGTTTATAATTGGATAACTAAATTTTTTATATCAAACAAAAATGTAGTCTCATATTAGTTTATGAACCTTTGGTTTTTAAGGTGAATGTTTAAAATTTAGAATATATCTTCACAGTTTTAAACCTCTTTATACTACTGGGCTTAACTAACGATCATCGAAACATTTAACAATATGAAATCAATGTTAATCTATAAGTTCCATATGAACTATGTTTAATCTTGAGGAGAACGATTAAAAAATTATGGTTAACAGTTAGCCTAAATTAACTCCATTTAAAAACGTACAAGGTTTGTTTTGATATAATTCAACCAATAGGAACTTGAATAGACAAGACTTTTGCCATACAACTACACTTTGATGTTAATCATGTGAACGCTCATAAAGAAGATAGGGCATTAAGAGTACCTTGATATTCTATTCAGAAGTTAATATTGATAAAGAACAACCCTATTTGTACAACAATATGAAGGTGACATTGGGCTACATTATAAAGTTTTCAAATAATATAACTGAAAAAATTTAGGTCATTTATGTTTACCATGCATTAAAACAAGGTGATTGTAGTTTTTTTGATTTATATTTTGTTCAACAACCAAATATTGTAGTGATCGTGACATATTACAGGATTATGAGTTAATTAGTAGGAATTATATTACTTTATATTATAATTATTTAATAGTTGAATTTGTGAGTCAATTAAAGCTAAATCACCATAGAAAACCTGAAAGCACTGGATGTTTGTTTCGTCCTACAATGGGACTCCTCAACACGACGCATACACAAAACCTCCTTCTGATTAAATTTATTTAGATGAGTGAAAACGGAAACAACTTCTGGTTGAATTTAATGCATTTAATAATCCGTTGATAATTAATAAAATAAACAGTTCACTTTAAACAACAACAAGTTATCCACTTGGCCTTAAATAAGATGAAACACGCGTCCTGGATTCTTCTGACAGCTATCATACATCATAATATTTGTTATTATTTGTTTTGTTTCTTTTCCCGTTTTTTTTTCTACTTTTCGTACACAAGAATCATAAAATAATTAAGTATATAAAGAATAGTTAGATGAGAAGTAAACAACTAAACAAAACAGATATGTAATAAGGAGAAGAAGAAGAGAAAGAAGGGGAACAATCATAAATTTGTTTCGTTACTCATTATCATTATTATTTTTTATCATTTCAGGGGTGTTATTTGTTTGAATGTTGTATTTATTTCCCATAATTATATTTCCCTTTTTTTTGATTTAAGGATTAATTGGGTATTGATAGAAACATGTTAATATTGTTTTGTTTACATATATGTGAAAGATTTAATTACATTTGCTACAAAGCAGGTAAAGTATAAGTAAATATATATAAATAGCATGTTTTAAAATTATAAAGCATACCTAATTAAATGACAATGTTTGCCTGTTGTTCATTAGCATTGAAGTAACATTAGTTTATGATTATCCTGTGTAAGATAGATATAGTAAAGTTTAAAGTGTAGATTATTGGATTTTGGGTCAATGGTTCAGAAGTATTATAGTTGTAATGAAAATAAGAAGGTTTTAAAGTTGGTCAAAAGAGGATTGTATGTTCATTGCTGTGACGTTTGAAACTAGAGTGAAATAGATGTACAACATTTCATGGGTTCAAATAGTTCCATTGGGTTTATCATCAGCTTGGAAATACAGATTACAAAAGGCTTATTTCCGTTCCGTTCATTCTTAATATATCAATCATTGTTATCAAAATGGGGTTTCGTGGATATTGGTTGAATTCATGAATTCAACCATTAAAAATTACTACACAATAACTACGAAACCATATTCTGATAATAATCACCATGTGCTCACTAATGAATGACTTCAAAGGGTAATTCGTGGGGTTCTCATGAGAAGCAGTGACTATTGGAGTCTAGCCAGGTCTGTTGTGAGATAGTAACTCACTGAGGACAAAATTGTGGATCGTGGCGCAATATCGTGGATTGGTTGAAGTTAGATATTAACACTATTGGATTCCGATTCAGTGGTCTACAGGTTAAGCTTTCGTCTGCGAGTCTAAGGTCCTGTGTTCGAGTCTTTTTTGTGCGAGATCGTGGGTGTTCTCTGCCGAGGAATATATTACTAGGACGGAACGGCCATCCAGTACTTCCAAGTTTTCGTTAATTGTTTAGATTTAATTGACTAATGGATCCAAATATAAATAATTCACTACTATCTTTTTAAAGCCGTTTATTTCTCTATTTCCTTTATCACATGTATCATTTTATTTTGATTCCACACACAAATAGAAATGATATCTATTTTTAACTGAATTAGGCAACCAGAAGACATCAATCTAGCCGGTGTTACAAGTTAATTTATTTTCATATTAAATAAAATCTGATTTTTCAAATAATTGTCTTACGACCAGTGATAAACTGGATCTGCTCTCGATACTTCAAACATTTAGGTAACATATAAAAACTGACCCGAACGAAGGAGAAAAACGTTTGATGACTTCATAAATTATATGAATAGTTTGTAGAGTGTTTTTGACAGGTCGTGAAAATATCAACCTCAAGCGATATTGTATCTTTCATACTTTTGAACTGCAATAAACTGAATGCAAATGTTTAATTAGTTTGATATTCTCATAATCCTATTCCCTTATCTATGTTCCTTTTGTACAATTGATAAATCTGCTGTCGTTTTTAACTCATACCTTTTAGAATCCTATTTCACCTAATGTTTTGTAAAAGCTTGATTTATCAAGAAATTTTCTAAAGTTTTGAATACATTCTATTGTATAAATGACATTTAGACTAGTGTAGGAGATAGTTGGAAGAAATTTAGGGGCGGCCAAACCAAAACGTGGCATCAGTGCTTAAAGTCACTAACTTCTAGTCTGAGCCATGCTAACAGATGCAAACTACTTGGTTGGGGTCCGCGTGACTATCGTAACGAACGGTTGGAGACTGTGTGTGACATGGCTCAGAATCGATCACAATGGTGTAGGTGTATCACTCTTTGTCTTTATTTAAACTGTGAGATTAAAATGGCTTCTTATCTGTCTTTCTTCTTGTTCTATGTTCTTATGGACAACCTTTCTTCGATATATTACCACCACTAAATTAACTACTTCTATGAATCCGGTGTTCATTTTGTTGTGCTTGGTCCTAGGTTGTAGCTGACTGACTGACTGATAAATGACTGATAAATGTAATCGTAGGAACATTTATCTTACATAGTTTCTATTTGTAATACTTGGTTAATTTCGACATCCTTGATATTAATTTGATTCGTATAATGTATTTCACTTTTTAGGCATTGTTTTTTGCTGTTTTATGAACAATCAAGTAGATTCAGTGCTATTCTGTAATCTCCCATAGAATAATAAACTTTTCGAATTTTACCACTCAAACCATATCATTTTTGAAGTAGAATCGATAACAGTAGTTTGAAAATACTAAAATTTGTTATATGTTCCGAGTGTCACTTTGTATGTACCAGACATGACAATACTTCGTTGAAAATTGGTTGCCCTTTTTGTTAGTGGATTAAATTTTTAAAATTTTGATTATTAATAAATGGTTGAAATACATTGCTTGGAGAAGCTGTTACTAAGTCGTCCAAACATTTGTCAATCAACCATTTAGATCATAGACTTGAATCAATATTTAAGTACTCTGATTTAAACAGACCACGCTTGAAATGTATGTTGCTGGAACGAGACATAAAACTCTAAATAGTAAATAAATTAGATTGATAATTAGTTTTACTCAATGCCAATTAACATTGATTGTAGTCATGACAGGTCAAATTTACTTCGATACGACAATGAAAACTCCTTAATTAGACTATCTAGCTCAGAGGACTAAACAACATCAAAAAACATCCAATTAATCTTCAAATCTTATCTATCATTTCATGTCATTTATAAACATTTTAGAGTTTCATTTTTGTTTTCTTTAAAAATACCTATGAACAGGTGAACTTAAAAGTTTGTAGCGTTGGTTACTATGTTAAGCCCACATAATTTATTGTAGCTTCTGGACAGGCCAATTTATTTATCCTTCTTGAGTCACGTTTTGATCTTGGTAATTATTCACTTATCAACCTTGACTGTTTTTATATGAGCGTGTCTGAGTGCGTATATCTTATCCTACTCATCACATGTTTGTAGCTTATTTTTGTGTGACTATAAATATTAATTAACGCTTGAATAAACGGAGTTGGCTCACACATCATTTCCACTGTGCGTCATTTTGCTTCACTCTCTTCTTGTCGCCTCATTTCTTCGTTCGTTTGTCTGGATCATTGATTGCACATAATATGTGTATTCGAAATTCATTCTCATATTTGACGTATACTAACGCGATTTAAGTCTATAATAATATACGATAATAGTCAGGATGTATATTATGACAGTAATCATTCATACGATCGACTTGGAGTCAGATCATGGGCCACTAAATGACTAAAACCTATGCAATCAAGTTAGTGTGTTATAAATAAATAACATCAAACACCGCCTAGATGAATGTTTTTCAGAATCATTGTGATCAATCTAAACAATAAAACATTCAATTTTTATGATTAATTATAAATATCAATGTATATATGTATTCTTTTTCCTTGTCACTTGTTTTCATTCATTATAGATACTGTTCTAATTAATGTACAATTGAATTTACGTGTACCATTATTCTTTTCTGCATGGATTGAACGTTCTCATACTCCTGGTTTAATGGATTCACTTATACCAATGGTAAGTATTTTTATTTGGTCTAGTATATAATTTATAATATTTTCTGATTTCATTAGAAATCATATACACTAACTACTTTACTAGGTCATGTGATAAACTGAGTTTATATATAAGAAACTATTGAATTTTTATTTCAAGACTATTAAGGAATGATAAAGAATCGTTGACTCCTTTCTACTGTTTCCTTTTCTTCTCCACTCTCTGAACATTCGTTTAAGGTAAAAAGAAAAACATCATTTGAATGAATGACATTTAACTTGCTTCCAAAATGGTGAATGACGTAGTCAACGTTTACAGACTTCATTTTATGTCTTGAAATTTATGATAGGTATCTCCTTTCTTTTCTTTCTCACTTTATCTAAAGGAAATTATTGAGTACACCCAAAATAGTACAACTGAATTAGATTTAATCTATATAGTACAATTATTGCTAACTGTCTTTATCAATGACTAAATCTTTTACATTCTATCTATTAAAATATCTGGTAGGTATTACTGACAAGAATGAATGAATATACTAAGCTCTGAAAAATTTCATTCTTTCATATTAATATATTCTACGAGTTGATAGACAGGAATGCATAACGGTTAATAATTGTTAGTAGGAAGTCTTGAATAGAACGTTTCTTGCTATTTGAAAATGTATTTTGTAAATCATTTTAATTAACATAAATGATTCCTTCATCGCATGACAGGTGGAAAGATTCTTGCCCATATAACCTGAGTAATAAAGCTAACAAAATTGGGTTGTAAAGATTATTACTTTTTGATTGAGATCATGATCTAGAGGTCTAAAGCCTTCACATGCAAGACCGAAGGTTCGAGATTCGTAGTGCTGAGGAGCACCATATTAAGACAAAACGGCTGTGTAGTTCTTCCAGATTTTCAACAGTGGTCTAATATCAATCGATTCATGATCGCAATCACAAACGTAATAAAATTAGCTGAAATTTGCGCTCTGCTCCTAACATAATATTCAGTTTAATATTTGAAAACTTAACTAATCGTGGAAATTTTTTTGATTTTTATGAAGGTGGGGTTTTAAAACGCCTACCATAATTTACTTTCACCTAACAACAAATAATAGACTGTATTTGAGTTATGATAAATCATAAATTGTTTACGTAAAGCTACGTAAATAATATTATTCCATGAAATCATCTAGACCGACAATTTAGAATAGATCCATTAACCATTCTATCTTGATAACTATGTGGAAACATACTCCTGGCTTTGTTGTTTCTCCTCACAATAATATCTTTTTATACTGTTTACTTAATTTCTGAAAATCACGATTCAATAATCGATAATTTTTTTTAAAAATTTTCATCCGTTTCTTTTAATTATCCCATTCACTTCATCAGTAATAGATCAAATCGTGTTATTTACTTAAAGACTTTATTTCATGTTTCTATTTACCATTATTATTATTAGTTGGATAATTGTGAACAACCAGAGTTACCAACCTATGAAGAATTGAAAGATTATGTTACAGATAAATCAAAATCTTTTGTAACTTCCTCATCGTCAAAATTATTCAATACATCACCTCTAGATTACTCAGCATCATCATCATCTTCGTCAACACCGTTTCTATGGAATCGTGTTCATGAATTACGTAACTATATTCATCATCTTGGTCAATTAGCTTGGAAAGCAAGATATTCAAGTATTGCGGACCAGCATTTTTCAGATGGATCATCTAAATACCTAAACTTTTCTGGAGTTCTACCTGTTCTGTATAAACTTCAAAAGGTATGTATTTGAATGGTTTATACAAATGTTTTATCTTGTGTTTTAAAGTTTAATGTAAAATTATGTTCAAGAATTTGACTTGGATTCAATAGTCAAATTAGCTAGTTATCTTCTATTCCCGTTTATATGACAGTAAGTTAGAGAAAGCACTGAATTTAAATGGAACTACATGCTGTGGGAAAAATGGATTGATAAAGTTAGTGTTCTGTATCATTCATAGAAAAAGAAATAGTGAAGTGTTTTTTTTATCAATATCGGTCTGTGGAGATTGTTAACTTTCTGATTAGGTTCATGAATTGACTGATGTTAGACCACCATTGAAAATCTGGAAGCGATGGACGTCCGTTTCTTCCCAGTATGAGACTCCCCAGCAGTCCGCATTCACGATACCTAACAGGAGATTGAAACCCAGGACCTACGGTCTCGTAAGAGGACGCTTGACCTATAGACCACTGAGCCGAAATCCAATGTTGTTAATATCTATCATCGATCCATGAATGTTTCTTCGACATAGTGTGAATAGTTTCGCCAAAACTGTATCGTTCCGGATTGTTTTAGATGGGGACGATTATATTTTCATATGTGTATATTTCTACCCATAAAACAAAGAGAATGAATTATCTTCGCAGTAATTTACAAGTAATAGCACATGTATGTTTTGTTAATATATCTATTTTAAATTGGATATATTCTGCGCCAACTAACAGTTAGGCATCGAAATCTCCTATTCTTATGCTATACTGTCAGAGGTGATTGAAATCAACATATGATCAATAATTTGTTGTAAACCTTTAACTAATCAATAAGGAAGTCATCTCAATCCAGTAGTTTGTCTTATTATGTATGAAGTGACGTTTTTTTCTGAAGTATAGCCTATAACTAATGAATGAACTTGAAGTGAATAGATTGGAAAATAATTTGTGTCAGGACTTGTTTAAATACTTCATATCTTTTTAAGAAAAATAATTCTGCATCAGAATCTCATAAGGATCTCAATTTTCTGAATGTTATATTCTCCTAGAATGATGTGTCATTTGCCAATTGGTTATCCTAGATAATCCATATACTGTAAGGTTGTATGTAATTCATAAATTATCTTTGAAAAGAAAATCATCGTATTTTCTTATTGTTCAATTAGACAAAACTATACTTGTTACTTAATGACATTTAAACATAAATTTTATGCGTAAGTTTATTGCTTGTCCATAGAAAAAAGACTTTGCTGAACTGTTATTTTGCATTTTGACAACTATACAATGAGGGCTAAGTTCAACAATACTTATCCATGAATAGTTATTATTCAGCTTTATTCGTTATATCAGTTTATGATGATTGATTGCAAACTATGCCTGTCAACAAAAGTAGTATGTAACACTGGTCGGATATAGAAAACTTGGCAACAGAAGACTATGAAGGTTGACTTAAAGAGAATAAGAACAGAATTAGAGAGTAATTATGAATCGAAAGAATCATACTGAATGTGAAATGTAGATAATGGAAATTGGCAAATCAAATATATAATATATGGTTCTCATATTTTACAGAGATATTCTGTAATTTTGTATTAAAATACATTTGGTTGTTTACACTTATACTTTCGTTCATTACAAAACAATATAATGATACATTTCTCTTGTAAAACAAAGATAAGTTAGTCATCCTATTGACCAATTTCATTAAAATTTCAGTTCGACTGACTCCTACTAACAAACAGATTTTCAATTAGGAACTAACCATACGAAAATTCGAGCCCCCATGGTGTATTCAAAAACAGTTTGTTCTCACCTTAAACCTACCCTGGTAATATTAGCTTAATATCCAGAGTGATTAGGTTTCAAATTGTTTTCATATTATTTTCTTTATTATCCTTGTCTTCTCTTACCCTTCATTTCTAGTCTAGTTGACCATTCATTCTTATATATAAATGCTCTTAACAAGTATATAATGTATTATCAGATTGTTCGAAATGTATTGCGTTAATATCTCATTACATAGTTGTGATAATTTTCGTCTCCTTATTATATTATGGTAATTATAAATTGTATTTATTTCTTAATAAAATCTTATCCACTTCAAATCAGCCGCCAAATCAACTTTGACTTATTTCTCATTTCTGAAGTTTTTTTAAAGTTTTCACATATGTACATATCATTGTAATCAATTTCAGTTTTGGTTCACTTCTTTCTCTCTGAATTCAATCCAAGTATTTTTTTCTTGGCAAAAAAAGGAGCAAATAAATTATATCAAATTAAAAATTAAAAAAAAATCTTTATTAAACGAAAACTATTCAATGTTCAATATGTCAATCATATTTTGTTTCAAATATAACAAACAAATCAAATATGGATACTCTTTTTTTTGTCGATGGAACACAAAAACAAAATAAAACATGATTGATAAGTAACTAAGTAACCAATTGATTAAGATTGTTATGTAATTTAAATTGATTAAGGGAAATGTAAAAGGATTAATTAAAATCCAGTCAGAAAAAAATAACCATGTTTATAACAATCATAATACCGTTATATTTAAAGTAGATAATAGAAATTATTAAAATAATTCAAAGTGCATATTGCCTCGATAAAGCCTTAATTCACAACCATTATAAGCAAAGATGGATAGTGGCTAACAGTGGAATCCAAGACGTGCTATTCGTCCTTGCTTATAATACTTGTGAATTAAGGCTATATCGAGGCAATACGCATACTATGCATATATCCCAATAAGATACTGATCAATTGCAGTTCGATCGGAAAATTTAAACAACCAATATTAAGTGAAATTAAATTTCACCCCATTGCACAAGTAAGTGGCTATCAGGACTCAGTAGCTAGGTGGATAACGTGATGGCGTTTGAAGAGAACGATAATGGGTTCGAGTCACAGAGTGAACATCAATTCGGAGATGCAGGTATATCCAGCTGAATAGTTCAAATAGGACGAAACGCGCGTCATGGATTACACTGCTAGACACTCCATATTTGCTTATAAATATATAAATGATTTCAAATAATTAATTTGTTTAATTAGAAGAAACATTCTGTTGTTATGAGAGACTCTGAACTATGGGGTCAATATCCAATGATTTACATTGTCTATTTTTAATCAGATTATCATACACTGTGCTTCACATCCTACCTAGTTGAATTTCACTGGTCAAGTCTTCAATGATGTAACCTATAAAATTCAAAGATCTTTTAAAATGTTTATTACTAAATTGGATTTTTCCTAAATACGTGATGTTTTAATAATGGTATGTTAAAATCACTTATAGGTGAATTATTATCAGAATTATTGAATAAAATAGTATTCTAATCAGAAACTAGCTTAAAAGATTCCTTTAATCTTAAGTATGTGTTATATACAATAGTTCCACACTACTGCCAAGGTACAAACATGTATAAAACAGTTATACAGAACACTTTGACGTTCAATATTACTCCTGTTAATATTACATTTAAATAATAATTATGAAACAAATGTGATCAATTAGCGATAAATACCAAAAAGAATCAGGAAGGTAGGTGGAAAACATATTGGCATTTCGTCTTTCCTCATGAAAAATAAAAATTTGTCTTCAACTGAATAAAGCACAACATTAGACAAAGTAGACGTGTCATTTACTTAGGTATATACGAACATAGACCATCAATTAGTAGACACTATATAATGACACTAATATCAATGCATACAGATAATTAAAAGTACAATTTTGATCGAGGGAGGTTGAAATGGTGGATCAACAAAAACATAGAAATGCTAGAAAATTTCAGGTCTACCTTCAAATAGCAGACTTATCAATACAGATCCAATTTATCAACTAATTTGATAAAGCGCAACTAAACACTCAGTCAGTAACTTGACCAAACCAAATCATGAACAAGAAAACAAGAGTACACAGTAGGGGAAACTTTACTCACTCATGAAATAGATGAGCTTCATTGGTTTGATGGTCATGAGTTCGGGTCCTGGATCCAAGGTAGTGGATGCACACTCCTCAAGAGTCTCATTCTAGAATAAAACGGCTGTCCAATGTTTCCAAGTTTTTAATGTTGGTCAAACCTAAACTAGTTCGTAGTTTAAACTATGAAGATTCCGCAATCTCCATTAATCTCTCTGTTCTACTTACGTTGATCATATTCAATTACTTCTTGTGGAATATAATAGAGAGGCAAAAAATAACGTTTTGAATTTTCTATGAAATAACTATGATCGTTAAGGCTCATTCAATCGTTTAAAATCTGTTCAAAAAACATTCTTTTTGAAGATCGAATTACGGAAGAAATGTTTGTGAATGAAAACGTGCCGTAACTAGTAGTAACACAACTTATTTAAACAACTCATCACCAAACAAAAATGAATAGATAAACAAAATGGCAATATTCCTTCAATTTTGTAGAAAAAAAAAATAAATTCAACTTTTGAAAGAAAATTCTCACAAACTCTTTCCTTCAAAAAAGCTTTTCGCATTTTGTTTGTTTGTTCATTGTTAATATCTTTTGTATGAAGTTGTACAAAACTGTAGGTCTTTGATGAAACTACGGGAAGAAGATCATGTTTTTGTTGTTGGGTTAATTATCAATAACTCCATTTAAGTGAATAGTAAAAATGATAAAGAAAAGAAAATTTTAATTAATGGAAAGTTTTAATTTTCAATCAACATGGACGACTGTTCATTCAAACAACCTTATTGGACTCAATTTCCACACAATTTCCACACACACCTAATTCCAACCTCACTATTTCATAGTACAAATGTATACACTTTTTCATAACCACCTTCTAATACACAAGATAACACAGTGACTGGTCATACAAATTCACCATGACGAAGTATAACTTGACATATTCTGATCGATTATGATTTTGATTGTACTGAAAACATTCTGTGTTGTTTTCTATTTACTATTTAAACTCATGTTAATTTTATTTCGGTTATTTATCGAATCTTAAGAAGTGGCTTAAATGAAGTCACACACCATCAGAAATACAATTTTATAC